TGTACCCCCCCCCAAGGTCTAAAATGAAACAAATGGCTGAAGAGTTCCCGCGAGGCAGGCACAGAACACAGGGGAGCCCTGTGGGCTCTTCCTCAATAAGCAGGGAACAGGCCTCGCAGGGCAGGTGGTTCTGCCACCGTGAGCGGCTCACCCTGCTAGGTGCCAGTGACCCCATCCTGACCCTGAGTTGCCCTTGGGAGCAGCACAAATGCTGTTTGGGTGGGCGAGGGACCCCAGCCCATCAGAGGAGTGTGTGCTCTGCCTCCTGGGCAGCCCGTGTCGGGATCTGAGCAGAAGGGAGCGCCTGGAGGGAGCAGGGACTATCCTCCAGAGAACACGTGCACAGGATGGGGACGCCCGCTCTGGACACGCTCCCCAAACAGCAGCTCGGGCCTGCTTTCTCTTCTTGGCCCGACATCTTTTTCTGCCCAAGGCTTGGCTATCGGGGCTGCCGCCCACGTTTGGCCCCTGTGGACCCTCCCTACCTCCATCAGGAGGGACATGTCCTCGGTGGTTCATTGTTGACAACTTGTCCTCGTCAGGGGTGTCCTAGCGCCTGCTGCACACTCCACAGTGCCTTTCTCTCCCAAAAAACAACACTGCAGGTCCCTGTCAGCCAGAAAAAAAGGGGACCTGAAGGAGCCCAGAGATTTATGTGAGGTCAGCCAGCAGGGGTGGGCAGAGCACGCTACAGCCACCCTCACTGCAGACACCCCCGCCTCACCCCGCTACTGCCCCAGAGTGGGATGCTGCCGCCTCCTCCCGCCTCCTGTCCCGCGCTCTGTGAAAGTGCAGGAGCCTAACGGAGCTGTTCATCTCTCTGGGTCAAAAATCTCATGAGATTTCTGACTGTGAGCTTGAATTTTCTCCCACTTTCGTCTCTTGCCACTCCTCTTGCTGGGTCAGTTTCAATTTCAGGGCCTTGATCTTGTGTAATTGCATCTGTCCACAGTTCAGCACAAGAAACTAGAATTCTCATCCTGTAACAGCTCTTTCAAGACAAATTTCCTGCTCCAAATGACTCCCAGGATGTTCTTGCTAATTTTTAAATTCCACATCATGATGAGGCAAAGTTAATCTAGTGAAGGAGCAGTCTCAGTTCTCCCCAAAAACTCCCAGGCGCATCTGTGGGGAAGTCACCTGGTGAGTCCAACAGCCCCTTGAGCACAGGTGTGCCTCACAGGTGTGTCTCACAGGGTGCCTCACAGGTGTGCCTTACAAGGGTGTCTCACAGATACACCTCACAGGTGTGTCTCACACGTATAACTCACAAGTGCTCTTCACAGAAGTATCTCACAGGTGTGTCTTACAAGTATAACTCACAGGTGTGCCTCACAGATGTGTCTCACATGTCCAACTCATGGGTGTGTCTCACAGGTGTGCCTCACAGGGATATCTCACAGATATGCCTCACAGGTGTGTCTAACGGGTATCACTCACAGGTGTGCCTCACAGGTGTGTCTCATAGGTGTAACTCACAGGTGAGGCTCACAGGTATGCCTCACAGGTGTATCTCACAGATGTGTCTGAAAGGGTAACTCACAGGTGTGCCTCAGAGATGTGTCTCACATGTGTAAATCATGGATTTGTCTCATAGGTGTGCCTCACAGGTGTAACTCACAGATGTGTCTCACAGGTATGCCTCACAGGTGTGTCTCACAGGTGTGTCTCACAGGTATGTCTCACACGTATAACTCACAAGTGCTCCTCACAGATGTATCTCAAAGGTGTGTCTTACAAGTGTAACTCACAGGTGTGCCTCACAGATGTGTCTCACATGTGTAAACCATGGGT